CCCCAGTCCTCTTGGTGAACACGATTCTTGAGATGGTCTTGAGAGGCTGACGCTGGCTATTTCTTCATACAGAAAAGGAAGCAGATATAAAAGTTGTCAACTGCAAGAGAAGCGAAGGCAAATGTCAAGAGTATTGTAACTATATGGAGATACAAGTGGGCCACTGCCCTACAGCAGTGAAGGTCTGCTGTGTGCCTCAGTACTGAGGCTGCTGACACGGGCGCCAAAGCCTGGTCTCCGCTTGTCCCCCTGGGCCTCGGCGCCGACCCAGGGACAGGTCGTTTGGAGAAGGCCCTGGGCAGAGAAGAGCTGAGTGTTGTCACCTGTGCCAGGAATTCTAAACATTTTATTGTAGAAAAAAATATAAAAGTGAGTTACACATAGTCCTATAGACATGATCTTAGAGAAAGTGTCTTGATTTGAGATGTACAAAATCTTCAAAATCACACAATTCTTGCTGGTGATGTGGATGTAATAAACTTTCAGAGGCAAGCATTCAAGGAATTCTTTCTTTTACGTTAACAAAATTTTTTGAGCGCCTCCCTTTGTTCTAGTCACTGACAAATATAGTGAATTGAGAACATGGGTATGGGGGGAGAAACACACTAAATAAATAAAAACGATAAAATGCTACATATTCTATTATGTGGATCTAGCGAAGGCAATGTGTGGAGAAGATAAATATAAGAGAACTAAGAAAGGATGCTTGGGGAAATTTGAGTGGGGTTTTGGAAGATCATTAGGAGTTTGTTAAGCGAAGGAGAGAGGCAGGTGCTTCCAGGCAATGGGTAGAGTTTGTAGAAAGGTGTGGAGACGTGAAGAATGGTTTGCTAAGGAAATTCAAAAGAGGGACTAATGACCAAGATCAGGTGGGGCTGGTGTAGGAATGCTGAGTGAAACTGTCAAAGAAAAGGCCTATGCTGCGGATGCGGGACTAGTCAACTAGAGGAGGTTGTCAGGTGCTCTGAGGCAGCGACGTCAACATAGTTTCAAGTTAAGAAAGTTTATCCTGACAAAAGAACTGGGAATGGGCTGGAAATGGGTGAGACTAGAGGCAGGAACGCAGGGTCAGAGAGGACAACGATGGGTGGAGCCCAAGGACAGGCATTTGGTGACTAAGTAGAAGGAACAATTTGGGGGGAGGGGTGCCGGAAGAGACGGAGGTGACAGGTTTTGCCACGGAGAAGAAGGAAGGGCGCGGGGTAGGAAAGAATCGTGTTAACCACAGAGGAGGAGAGCAGGAGCGTGGAGAAGACATGATTGGCTCTGGGCACATTGAATCTGAAGGCCCGAGACCTTCACCCATGGGTTCCAGGACAGAGGAGGGGACAAGAAGGAGAGGAGTTAAAGTGCTCACTCATAGGTGGAAACTGAAGTCTTGAAAAAGTCTTAGGATTTATCTGTCACCCAGGGATGGGTTTCTGGGGGTCAGAGGGACAACAGTGGACAACTCTAAGGTGTAAGTGACAGAAAACAAGGAGTCACTGAGGGAGATGGAAGGCGAGGAAGGAGACGCCTCGGTGGAGTGGAAGGCCGTCCAGGAAGGAAAGTGTGGTCCGAGGCAGCAGGAGAAGCTACTGGAGAAAACAGAAGGATGCCAGCTGCCTCCACGTTTGCCCAGCACATCAGGCTGGGAGCCTGGGCGTCAGGGACCCTGGTCCCGGGTCCAGCTCCGCCAGCCATGTAACTTGGAGGGTAAGCCTGAGGATGTCAGTTTCTGCTCCTAAGAACAGAATTTTACTGAAGGGAGTTTTCCGTCTGTTTCTTTGGTGGAAGGGTTAAAATAGTGACTGAGTATAAGACCGAAGTGGGGGCTCGTGTACGCGTGAGGGGAAGCTTTGAAAGAAAGCATGAAGCTGAGATGACTGAGGAGATGGAGAAAACCAGAGCTCTCCCTGCGAACACAGATCTAAATAGGTCACCACCCTCCTTAAATCAATCTCACTCCTGGTGCCCCTGTTATCACTCACACATTCATTCACCATTCATTCAACAAGTGTGCAGTAAGCATGCGCAGTGCTCCAGGTCCTGTTCTAGATTAAGGAGATTCAGTAACGAACAAAGTCCCCCACCCTCAGGTAGCTCCCATTTGAGCTGGGGAGACAGACAATGAATGAGCAAGCTATGTAAGTAAAAAAGGCAAGTTAGGGTACATTAGAAAGTGGCCAATGATATGGGGGGGGTGTCGGTCAGGGAATACAGCTTGTCAGGCAGAGGGTGGCATTTTGGAGGCAGGGGTTAGAGAAGGTCTCACCCACGAGAGGGTAGACTGTGCGTAGAGACCTGCAGGAGGCGAGCAGTGGGCCCTCGGCCCTGCGATTGGTGGGCATCCCAGGGCAGGAGACCGCAGAGGCCAGTGCCCAGGAAGGAGCGAGCGGGCCTATTTGAGGAGCTGCAGGAGGAGGCCAGTGTGGTGGCAGCGAAGGGAACAGGACAGGGGGAGGGGAGGTAAAAACATTCTCTGCTAGATTTAAGTTGCATCAAGAAAGTCATAAATTTCACAGAAGAAAGAACCTCCCGGGCCTTAAGGTTATATAACAGTAACACGTGTTACCCAGAGAGATTCGGGAACCTACTTTGGGATTCATAAGAAACTGGTAAAAACTGATTTTGTCCCATCATTCTGCGGTAATTTTTGCAGTTCTGCTCAGATGAGCCTAATGGGCTCTCTGGGTCAGTTCTGGGCCAATGACTCCATTAGTTACACTGTGTGATTCTTCTCAGCAAAGGGTAGGACCCTGAGCTGTGATGACGCTTTATGGACACTAGCTGTGCCCCTGGTGGGACGCGATCCTTTCGCCAGCAGATGGCTTTAGGTCATTGCAGAGCCACTTGCAACACGCCTGACTGCCTCGCCTTGAGCTCTCCAAGCCCACCATCTTCACACAGAGTGCTGCCCTCCCACTGCACCCCCAGAACCTCAGGGCGCTTTAATCCCTTTGACTCATCCACCCCCA